TTTCTGTAAATGATGATTGATTGCTAGTTTTGTAACCTCTCTCCCTTAGCACAAACTCAAAGAAAACTTGAAGAACCTGAAGCAAATGTCTACAAACTATTCTTGCACTTTGGAGCAGGAGAGGCCTAGAGAACTTTGGAGGTGGTGGATGGGGACAGGACTGATTTGTAGAGGCAGTGTTACTGGTGCCATTAGCAGTTAAAGAATTTTAAATCCAAGATGTCTCAGATCCCTTAAATATCAATAGCTAAGGAGCATGCTGTGAGCACAACACAAGGAAAGAGCCTGAGCATATCCTTTAGGACCTACTGCTTGGTGGTGTAGTTGTTCCCCCATGGAAACAAGCAAACATGTCTCAGCAGCATAGCATGCCTCTGGGCTTCTAAATCCAAGCCACAGTTGCACTGACTGAGGGTGCCAGGTTATGGAACTGCAGCTTCTTTCTGAGAGGGAGAGTGTGGAGAAGTGGGGATGGGGCGGCAAGAGACAGAAAAAAATCCTGTCATAACTTAGGAGTAGAAAGTTTTAAAATGTATTATGCTTTTTGGAAGAGGTGTTATTGCTTCATTTTACAACTTGTCCCTTGGCTTCCGAGGAAAGTGTTTGAGTTCAATACCTCTCATTATGAATAAGAATGTCCAATTCCAACCCTGGGTTGAGACAAAGTGTGACAGCAGGACAAGGTGGAGAGCATAAAATTAAGAGATGTGATACAAAACTGAAGCTGCAACGTAACTTGATCATAACTCAGTTCTGCTTGTTCAATATACGCATTTATATGCATATGCTTAAAAATTTATTTTTATTATGTGCTAAGCTGTTTCCATCAGGTTTGCAGCCCTACAGAGTGATTCAGAGATGTAAAGGAGAAGGGAATAGTTGGGCAGGATGGGGAGACAGATAAAAGAGGCTTGTGTAGACAGGGAAATGAGAAGCCTGCTTCTGTGATTAAAGAAACATGGTAGCATAAGCAGACAGATAAATCATGTGCCAACAGTGCAATGAGCAAATTATAATTGGCAAGCAAATCGGTGAGCAACTTCTGGAGGATGGAAACTTTCAGGCAAAACTAAACTGGCAACAGAACAGACTAATTTAGGGGAAGTGACTAGAGACTATAATGATGTCCTGCAGGACAACATTTTATTTTCAGGGAAAAAAATCTCACATAGTAATTACTGTCTGAAAAGCCTTAGTTTATTGAAGCTTTATTCATACAGAAATCATCCCATACCATTCATTGTTCTTCTCTCCCTTTGATTTTTTTTGCCTAATCCTAATAGTTTAAGTTCTTTTCCAAATACAGCCTAAAACTGTACACAGTACTGAAGATTAGTGTGCTGTGTATTTGTAAAAAGGCATCATGGTGTTTTTAATTTCTACTCTTTGTCTATTTCCTTTTAATTCCTAGCATTTTCATTGCACGGGGATTTTGCCAGTATTTTATTGAGTGCTAGGATATTTTCATAATTGCTCTAGTATTTAAAAGTAACTTGAAGATCTCTTTCCTCACCGGCAGTAGCTTTTGCAGTTGTTATGGTCACGTAATTTAGAATTATTTTCTCTGTTTGGTTTCTGTGCAAGTTTTTGCAAGGCAAAGTTTGTAGGGAGCAAACTAAAATGTGCTAAAAAAGAAACCAGTGGGGAAAATATAGCATTATTAACAGCTCTCCAGAGGCTTGTATTTTGTTTTAATATAGTTTCTAAATAAATTATAGTAGTAGTCTTTTTTTTTCTGGCTCATTTACCATCAAAATATATTTTGCTAAAGTAAAACTGTATTTTGAAATAATTTTCAGATTGCGATTAGTGATTTTAAAAACTGCCTTCCCCAAACCCAGACAAACCACGAAGAGTAACTCTTATTTTCACTGCCTGTGTATGCAGACTTTTTTAAGGTAGGATACATCTTATCCCAGACATGAAGAGGTTAACGGATTGTATGTTGAAGAGCACCAATGAAAAATGCCTATTTGAAGATTGTATTTTGTTCCCAAAGTGACTCGTGTGACTTCATTCCCTAAGTGACTTGTGTGGTACCATGAGGAGCATACATACTTAAGTGCGAGCTGGCATGTAGCCAAAGAGCAGTAAAATGAACTGGTAGGGTCCTTGCTGTAGTAGCCTATTGGGATTCTGCTCTGACCTGTAAAACCTCATATTCAATGGATTTGCTTTGCAGAATCAGTCTCATCTGGTGCACCAATTTAATCCATAAAGAGAACAATTTCTGCCTTCCTTCTCATGACTGTGCATCCTAACATACAGTACTTCAGCTTTTCATGTTCAAAGGGGCTGTGGCATCTCCATTCTTGGAGTTTTAATAGATTCAACTTTTCAGGCAAAGCCAAGGTCTGGTGTTGGGAGATGGTCCTGCTCTAAGGAGGAGAATCTATTCCATGACCTCCAGAAATCCCTTTCAACCTGTGTTTTTGTGATTTGCTTTACTATGACTTTAAATGGGGCCTGGGGAGAGTGTGGAAGCTAATGTATTTGATACTGGGTAAGAAAAATAGAAGTCAGTGCTACAACCTTGAGGGTTTAAGGTAATCTCTTTTACTGTGCTGATAGCACCACAGACCGGTTTCAAGACACCTTGAGACAAATGATAAGCTGTCAGACATGCAGATCTGACAAAGTGTAGGGTATGAAATAAGAGATGAAATTCTCTATTGGTTCAGCATAACAGGTTCTGCATATTATCCAACAGTATGTATTTGTATTGAGTTAGAGAAGTTGCTTGTAGCATAAATTACGTGATTTTTCTGTTTGTTATTTTTTGTTTGTTTTTGTTTGCTTTGTTTAGTGTTTTTTTCTTGGTTAGACTGCTCTTTTGGGGATTGCTTTAGAAGGTGATAACCGTTCCCAAATTTGTACATTATTGTAATTGGTATGTTGAATTGGTATTGCCCAAATCTGCTGCTGTGAAAAACAGAGTTTAATATAAAGTTATCTAAACTAATTTTTTGTTCAATAATATATTTTAGATTAGTTTATACTTGTCATGTGCTAAATTTTTTTAATTTTAATATATATTTTAATGATGATTTTTCCTTATCTTGTAAGAGATAGAAGCCTTTAATTTTATTTTGAGTCCTCTAGTACACTGTCTATTTAGGGCTTGGTCTTTTGAAATGCTCCTAGTATTATTTTTGGTGTATACAGGTTCATCCTTTGATGTCCAGAAGTGTTAATCTGCACAGTGTCCTATTTTAAGCAGGGTCTTCCTTTAAGCATTGTATTTTTTCTTTAAAGTAATGCTTTTTCAATCAGTACATACCACCTCTTTATCTTATCAGAAATATTTAACCTGTTGTACGAGGCAGAGTTAGTCTTGCTTGGGAAGCAGTGATTTTTCAGTTTTCTTTTTTGATGCTGAAGGGCTGTCAGTTATACAGTGGTTGTGCATTTCTTGTGTTTTTGGCAAAAGCTTGAACGCATTACATGCTGACTTCTGTGACCACGTTACGCATGACCTGGGAGCTGTTGGGCTTTAGTGCCTAATTTTGTTCTAAGCTCTGTTTACTGCACTTTGTGTTCTTATAAACAACAGTGAAACTTGGTTACTGTTACTGAGAGCATCTGGTTAGTTCAGAACAGGTTCAGTTAGAGCATGCTGACCTGTGCAATGGATTTACCCCCACACTTCTTAACTTCCATTTATTTCTTGTAAAACTGCAAAAATATACTTTCTGTTTGTGTGCTCATTAGAGAAGACCGGTATTAATTATAGAAAACCAGTCAATCTGAAGAAAAAGTACTTTTATAAGTATTCAAGTACTTGCTGTGAAAGTTTATACTCTGCCAGTGACTTCAAAGGCAGGTTAAAGCCTGCACAACTGCCTGCAAATCTGTTTAATCCTATTAGGTGTTCTCCGTCACCTAACATGCACAGAAGCCTGAATTTTGCTACAGATGTGTTGTTACTGATCTTATTGCATCAGCTGGTTACCTAAGGGACTGAGCCGCTTTACAGTAAATATTAATCCTTTCAGGGCATGCAAATAATAAATTTACCAGAAACAGTTTATCTGCTACCGGTATTGCTGACAAAGTGACCACAGTACTTGTAAGCCTGTTCCTGGATACATAGGTAGGGATCAAAACCAGGTAAACAGTTCTGAAAAGGGATTGGTAAATATTTTAAATCTCTCTAGTGATTAAAAAATGCCTTGAAGTGGCTATTAAACTCTTAAGCTGTGTTTGCATTACTATTGCAAATAGACATTTTTCATTGTTCGAAGTGACTTTTTGCAGTAAATAGTGAATTCTAAATTTACAAAACCAGCAGTATAAAGCAAGGCAAAAATTCTGATATGTTTAATAATGATAAGGAATAGAAATGTTATTTAATCACTGATTTCTTACAGATATGATTGTTAAATATGTGTCAAAAGAAGCTTTGTGACAGCTGTTTGTTTCCCAATTTTTTTCTAATCTGAAGAATTTTAATTAAGAAAGAAATACAGTTAATTTTTACCTTTTTATTCCTGTTGTAGTTCAAAGACACCATATTGAGCTCCATAATTCTTTTGGCTAAAATGGGATCAACCTATCTTCTCCTGTACTTAGTCAGTATTACCAGGTATTGGCTCTGGATCCTCTAGATTGATGATTACAAATCTTGAGTATAGTTGAATGAGCTCGAATGCTGAAAATGACCAATTATTGTCAGGAATAAACATGTGCTTGTTCGTCCTTGCAGGATGTGCAGAGTCTGTCTGCTTATAATAGGGAGGAATAAAGGTAGATGGGAAATTTTTTTCATAGAGCACTTCTGGGCTTAAATCAGTTCTTACGTGAGCTAGAAGTAGAGTCCCATGATAGGAGAATACATTTGTTTTTTATCAATCAACCATACATCAATCTAAATAAAGTCAAGTCTGTATAGTAATGATGGATGAGTGGTGGGATAGATGGTAGGTAATATTATTCTACCATTTTGCAGTTACTGTTTCAGATATGAACTCATTTATTTCATTCTCTCTATTTGATTTCAGAAGAAACAATGCAGGTGACAGAGAGAAGGCACTACAAGTCATGCTTCAAGTCCTGCAGACATGTGATCACCCTGCTCCAGATATGTTTTGCTTATGTGGGAGGATCTACAAGGATATGTTTCTTGATTCTGACTGTAAAGATACCAATAGTCGAGATCATGCCATTGAATGGTAACAGAAAAACAAAACAGAACAATCTATTTAAAAACACTTTCAGACTTTTACTTCTGGTTATGGAAAGCAGGGCTGTAAGGATTAGAAGATCAATTGTTCTACTTACATCTTTTTTCTTCAGGGTCCTTTTTGAGTAATTGGTTTACTAAGCATCAGATCTTTGAATATGATTTTCCTTGCTTGTCTTTATAGACTATCATGAGTATAGAATGATACACTGAGTTTATTGGGGACAGACACACGCACGCACATGCACACGCAATGATTTACACATGTCTTTGTATAGAAAATAAAAAATTAATCTGCTTCAAGGCCTAAATTAAGTACAAGTGAGACCATGGGACTTATGTTGGTCCTCTGTACAAGGACCATTTCCATGCTGGATCCCCAGGAAAATGCAATGATCTACTGTATATAAGGAAAAATATTGACAAACTGCATTACGAATTTTCTGAAGAGAATAAGGCAGACATATGTACACAGCCTTTCACTGACATACTTTCACACGTAGGTATGTTTGTATAATCGTATCAACTACTGCTGAGTACAATAATGTTAACAATGTGGGTTTCAAACCATAAAATGGCTTGGGTTGGGTTGGAAGTGACCTTAAAGATCATCTCGTTCTAACCCCCCTGCCATGGGCAGGAACACCTCCCACCAGACCAGGTTGCTCAAAGCCCCATTTGTACTGTAACTGTAAAATACTCCCCTCTCTCTCTTCTTCCCCCCAAATGTTGCGTATTAGTGCTACGTGGTTGGGTAATAGTGAACTTACAATCTTCAGATAGTTGTCTTCATCCTGCATCTGCTAGTGGTGTGCATTCAACCTTTGTCAGCTGTGTCTCAGTTACCTTTAATGAGTGTGAGGCTTTAAAACAGAAGGCTTGGGGCCTTTTTTAAAACATGCACTGAAAACTAATATTTTTATTATTTTTCTCATATGAATAATATAATAAAATGAGTTTCTATTGCATTTAAGAGTTTTACAGTAACTAGTTTGTTTTATTTTCACAAAACTAAATGAGGTGGCAAAACATAAAACTAAGCAGAAGTTTTTCTTACTCAATATAGAACAAAAAGCTACTTTATTTCAAAAGCTTTTTGCAGAGTGCCATTGGTACCAACCAGCCATATAGTTCTTACAGTAAGTTAATAGGTTAAAATACCTACCAAAACTTTGCAGTATTTCAGATCTCATATACATTGAGATGTGACCTCTTGACTCTTCTCTGCAGGTACCGCAAAGGATTTGAACTCCAGTCAACTCTGTACTCTGGAATTAACCTTGCAGTTTTGCTACTTGTTGCGGGACAACAGTTTGAAACCTCAATGGAACTGAGAAAAATAGGTAAATATCCACACAAAGTGTCACAAAAAAGTTTTCTGTCTCTCTCCCTGTGAAGAAAACAAAATGCTTATAGTGATGGGTTGCATAGACATAAAGATGGTTCAAGCTTTTTAGTGACGAGTCCTGGATGGCAGGCTAAAACACAGGGATCTTGAAGGACCATTTTTCTCCTTGTTGTCTTGGAGCAGCTTTCATGTAACTTGGCCCTTTTGAAGAGCCCCAGAGATGGGAGAGGAACAAGGAAGGACCAACTTCAGCAGCATCCATAAACTGCCTTTACTGCACCACAGGGATTATCCCATTGCATTGCCAACAGGGAACAAAGGCAATGAGAGCGTGTGGGCCAGCTCTCCTCAGGGATGTTAGGGAAGGATCCACAGGGTTTCTGTTGTCCCTGAACTGATAGATCCACAAGAAGTATTGTCTGGAAGGACCTACCTGGACAATAACTAGTTGTCTACCTACATTCACATCTTCCATGTAGGTACTAACTAAAATCCACCATTATATGTCCATAGAGAAATCATATGATTTCTTTTTCTTTCTTCCTAGAAAGGTAATAGTTGAAGATTAGATTTGGAATCAGACCCTGTCTGAAACACATACTTGAACCTTAAAGGGGAAGAATGCAAAGGTGGCTTTAAATCATTCCCCTGACCTTGCTCTAGAGTGGACTTGAGTAAGCCTCGAGCCATTGATCTCTTGCAGTAGATGCCGATTTCGAGGACACACAGATGTGCAGCTTACACTGAGAATCAGGAGGCAGATAGTCCAGACATATAGCAACAGAGGTTTTTCAACACTGTGTGTGGTAGGAGTTCTGACTGTCTGAACTGTATTTGGGATGTTATTTGCAGACCCAGACTCTGTGTTGGGCAATGTTTTTTTTTTTCCTAGGGAAAAATTGTTCTGCTTTATTTTTATCCCTAATGCTTAATCAAGTCTTACTATTCTTTTTCTGATAGACTTATCAGTAAAAAACACTTACTAGTGTTTTACTGATAGAAAAATATGGTTTTCAATTGAAATTTTACAGGTGTACGGTTAAACAGTTTATTGGGAAGAAAAGGAAGCCTAGAAAAAATGAACAATTACTGGGATGTGGGACAGTTCTTCAGTGTGAGCATGCTGGCTAATGATGTTGGTAAAGCAGTGCAAGCAGCAGAGAAACTTTTTAAGCTGAAACCTCCAGTGTGGTATGTGGTAGAAGGCTGTAGATCAAGTACCCAACTATGGGGAAATACACAAATAAAATTTTAAAAAATGTAGCCACTTGGATATCTTAACTGGATTTTTCCATCTTGGATTGTTTGTAACTCAGACTTTATACTCTGTTCTTTTATTTTGGGAAGGAAGGGGAAAGGTAAGAAATTAAGTTACCCATCATTGTTGTGTTTATATCTCATTGAAGCACATCTTTTATTTGAAAGAAATTGGAAATTGGTGATGATTCCTTATGAAGCAATTGTGAAAAGATTGTGAAGCCATTCTTTTCAGAGCTTAGATAGCTGCTGCTTCCCTCCCCCATCATCTTCTAACTCATGACATCCTGTCTAATCACCATGTAATCACCATGTAACTACTCACGTAACTATACCAGTTTGCAAAAAGATACTGTTCATGAACAGCCATGAGCTTATGACTTAAGGTATTGAGTAAACTTGCTATTCTTTCCAGAAACCTGTAAAACACAATCATTTTCATTATGGTAGTTTTTAAAGTGCATTTCATTTTACAGTTAATTTTCTGGATGTATAAGTCAGTTAAGTGGTTTTTAGAATCTCGTCAGATTTTGTTTTCTCTCCGTTAACTCACTAATTCAATACATTCTAGGTACTTGAAATCATTAGTTCAGAATCTGATGTTAATTCAACGTTTCAAGAAACTCACCATAGAGCATTCTCCTAGACAAGAAAGATTGACTTTCTGGCTAGATATAATTTTTGAGGCAACGAAAGAAACAACTAATGGACTGAGATTTCCAGTAAGATGTTATGTCCAAACAAGTTTTGTATGTCTTATGTTTCTGCATAGGTTATAACAAGAATTGGAAGATTCTAAACAAAATGCTTACATACTTAATTACCTGTTATTTCATTGCATGAACCAAAACCGTCTGTTCTGCTATTTTTTATTGAAAACATTGAACTCGCCACCCTAAAAACATTCTAAGAAATACTTTTAAGTCTCCTACAGCGAATTGTGATTATAATGTTTTGTTGTACATAGGAACACAGCCTCTTCCTGTCTTGTCTTGCCCTTCTCTCTCCCCCCAAAATTATTTTAGGCCTTACTTTGAGATAACCCATTGTCTATATCAGACCATCTGAAGATACTGTCATGTATTAGCTGCTGGTTTATTAAGGAAAAATATTCTCTCTCTTCAGGTTTTGGTGATAGAACCAACTAAAGTCTACCAGCCCGCATATGTTTCAATCAACAGTGAAGCAGATGAGAGGTCTCTCTCTTTGTGGCATGTCTCTCCTACTGAAATGGTAAAACTATCAGCAGATGTGTTTCATGTATTCTGGTTCATTGTGCTTAAAGTCACTTTTTACATGTAGATTTTGGAGCACTTTACAATAATTTAAAGTTTGCTATGTTTCTGTGAAGCACAAGCCTCAATATGTCTTTAGTGAAGATATGAAAGTTGAATTTTTACAGAGAAAGTAAAAGGAGAGACTACAATTAGGACTCAAGTGGTTTTGGCCTCTGGTTCAGATTTTACTTATCTTGACCATGTCTCTCAGAAGTGCGTTGGTTATTTGGTCTGCTCATAGTATTTCTCATTGGAATTGTGTGATTCTTATTAAGATGCAGTTCAAAGCTAGATAAAAAGTAAAGATAAAGCCCAGTATTGTGTTTAATGTTTTAGAAATTTTTGAAGTTTTATAACTGTAACATTAGAAACTAGAAGAAATGGCAGCCTGTGACAAGTAGGTGTCAAGAGATGAAATATTTGTTGTCGTGGATTATTGGATAAGGCGCAGGAGATTAGGAAAGGAGTACTCGCAGTTATGGACAGTGTAATCTCTTAAAAGTGAGAAATAATTTCAGTTTCACATTGAAATACTTGAAATCCGGAATGTATTTCACCACCCCTTCTTAATATCAGAACAAGGTGTAGGTGGAGAATAGGCTAGAATTCAGAGAGGCTAAGTGTGGAAAAGAAGCATGTTAGAGCGAGGGAAGACCATATAATTACCTGGATCTGTGAACTTCTTTTCCAGTACACTGTTTTAAATACTTCACTACTTGGAGTAAATGTGTCTGACGCAACTTTGCTTAATAGAACAAATTCTTCCAGTGTATCTGGCAGTGCTAAATAAGATCCAGCTATTAGCTAGAGTTTTATGGAGAGCTACAGCTGTAGGCACAGATTGTCCTTCCTCTGTTTTCCCTCCAGTGTGCTCCCTGGGTGAAAGCTGTTGGCTCAATAACTGCAAAAGATGCATGAACTTTTCTTTCACTTTGAGACTAGATAAGGCTAGGGCATAGTCTGCTCCATGTTTAATATGAAATATTTATGTATTGAGTCAAAACACAATGTTTGGTGAATTGTATTTTGAGATTTATTCTTCAAATTAAATGAGGAAATGCGGCCTTTACTTCCACCCTGTGCCATTTTTTCTCAAGTGAGTAAAAGAGCAATGCATGGTCTTCATTTACCTATACATCAATCTTATTTGAGGGGGAAGAAAGAAAGAAACTAAAACAGACATTTTGGAAAAACTTTACTTTGCTTACCATGCTGTGACTTTGGTTTCAATAGTAAGTCAAGGTTAAACTGTGATTGATTATGGCTCTTTGTTCTTTACAGAAACAGATTCATGAATGGAATTTTACAGCTTCTTCCATTAGGGGAATAAGGTTAGTATGTCAGAAAACAATTACAGTGTTTTTTTGTTTATGTTTTCTATTTCCCTTAAGTGGAAAATCTGGATTCTGCCTTAAATCTCTGTTTTACATTGCCTATTATAAAAGATTGGTCTGTCCAACCTGCCATGAAATGGAAGAGTTTGCCTTTCCATGCATGAGCAGAGCTGTATTTATATATATATATATGCTATTTCTCATAGGAATACTCATCTCAGGGGGGAGAGTGTGGGCATGTGTATTCTCTGGTAGACTTCCCTGTTTTCTAACTTGTTACTTATTTTTATATATTTTTCTAAATTTTTCAGTGAGGTTATTGCCATCTGCATTTAAAAACATGGAGGGTAGAAGGAAAAAAGAGCCCTTAGCTTCCTTCTTGCTTCCTTCCATAAGTCAAAGAACAACTTGTCTGTTTTCCTTTAAGAAAAGGAAACCATGGTATCTATTTTCTGTTTGGAATTCAGAAATTCTTCTGATACGGCTCTATCTAAAGACCTATTCACAACAGCTTGGATTATTAGAGAAATATTAAATGAGGTATGGACATAGTTCGTGCTAAGGAAAGAATTCTTGAGCTGGAAGAAGCCTGCTAGTGGAGTTTCACAAGGACTAGCCTTAAAATAGTTGAATTAGTTCTGTTTTGTGATACCTAGATTAAAGGAAACACTAGTCACAAGTAAATGGGTCCAAATACTTTTCCAGAAGAAGATCAGAATATTATACAGAAAGAACAGGTTTATTCTGAGAACTGAAAGGATAGAAAAGAATCACATTTGGTATTAACTGCAAAATACATGACTACATTTAGAAGGTAGCTTATATATCTTAAGTTGTGCTGTTTTGCTGCCAGAGAGGTGAGAGACAGAGCACCAGGAGAGAAAACAAAACTAAACCTATCTGTACAGCCTAGCAGTGTTGCTCGCTCTCTGCATTACGCAGGCTGTAGCTAAGAACCAGGGGAGCTGTAAGTATGGGAAACAGGATGTGGACTTTTGCCTTCTCTATGAACTCATGAGTCACTTCATTGGTGGGATCAGGCTTTTCTAGGGACATGCATGGCTGTTATCTGGGGTCACTTGTGTGAGAGCATGAACTTAAGTGCTTGAAAAACCTTCTCATTCCAAGTACAAGCATAAAATCAGATACCTAATGAGTTCTGTAGTTTTCAAAGCAGAGGGTTTCTAGGCTGCAATTTTGACCACAAGCACCTAAGTTTTAGGTTCCAAGTTTGTTGTCTTCAAACTTGTATAATTTGCTTAACCAAATAAGCTCAGTGAAAAAATGTTGCTCTGAATAAGGTGAATGATGATTGCTGTGAAAGCCTGCAGCTGTGGATTTGGATGTAGATTCTACCATAATTTCAGTACTTTCTTCTAAAAGAAGCAGGTTTTGGTTTAAATGAATTCAATATGACATTTTATTTTACTACTCCGATGCAATGTGAGTAGATGTGAAGACCTGTCATTACTGAAGTCTGTGGAGCTGAGCATAACTCAGCATAATGTTTCTGAAACATATTTATTACCTTCAGTCAATGCATTGCACAGAAATTAATCTTTGGGAAAGATAATTAAATAAAGGCAAGCAATTCATTTGCTTCGATTCTTAATCACTGCTGGGGATTACAAAGCTCAAAGAGGTGATCTTTTAACCTTAGTGGAATTAGATGTTTGCTTTCTATGTGACAACTTACAGTTGATATAGTTTTGAAATTGCATTAGTTTTAGTAAAAAAAAATAGTGGTCTCAGTTATCTTATACTCTGTCAAAACCCTTAAATTTTATTTATGCTAACCAGTTTGTCTTGTATACTACGTGCATGACATGATTTATAATACAGTATTGTTATTTAGATACTCTCTTCTCTACCCTATATTTGTCCTTGGAAGAATCATCTTGCTTTGCCTTTTAGTTCACCTTGCTACACTAGAAATTACTGTACCAGAATCAAACTATAGACTGGTGTAGTGTATTTTCACATACTTCTAAAAAACCGTCTAGCAAAATTCTAAGTTTTTTTGAATATTTGTCCATCTAGCCCTTGATGATGCTACAGCGAGTTGATCTTATAACATTCTGCAAGAGTACTGTAGTCTACTGTCATGTATTTTAACTAACTAGCTCAACAGAGGTTAAGCAAAATTCAAGAGTTTGACTAAACAGATCAGGCAAGAATCTAATAAATTTTACTAATTTAATGCACAAAAATAATGACAGTACCTTAACAAGTGTAACAACTTGGCATTTATGTGGAATAACACTGAAGTACAAGTGTTTGGAATGAATAAGATATTAATTCCTAGATTTAATTTCATATTGATATAATGTTTTATGGCCTCTTCACTTTTTGTTTCAGTGCATTTAGTTGGGATATATATGACATTGGCAAGATACAATATACAATAAAGAATCACTTTGTCAGACTTATTGTTGCAGTTTGGAGTAAATATTGGTCATCCCTAAACTTGTTTATCAGCATTAAGGCCATGAAAAGTATATACTGTAATAGATCTGCTATACTATAAACATTTCCAAGTTCAGTTTTAGTGTCAGAGTAATGGAATTATAAAAACTAGAAGTACTTGTCAAGCTTAAAAGAAAGGCTTTCTTGATAGCTAGATTAGTGTCAAAACAATTCACTTTCCATAGAGGTGTCATCAAATACCAAGAAATCTGATGGAACTGTGTAAAAATGGAAGGGAAGTCGAACAACAAGCAAACTTCAAAACACTTCAGAGAAACGGTTCTTTTACCAAAGTAAGCAGTAGCTTAATCATTTATCAAACTGGAGATAGGATTACAGAATATATAAATAGACTCAAAGCTTCTTGTTGTAAGGAAAATAAAGATAATTGCATACTGTCTCTCTGAGGTAATTAACTGTGAAAAAGAAATTTGCTAAATGTTTGTAATTCCTTCTTGCTCTATTTGTTCTAATAGTTACATCCAAAATAATCTTTTCTTAATGTGAATTTTACAGCATTTCCAAGTTTGATGAACGATGTTGTTTTCTTTATGTCCATGACAACTCTGATGACTTTCAAATCTACTTTTCTACAGAAAACCAATGCAGTAGGTGAGTTCAGTTTGTACGGGCATTGCATGTGACATATGTGTCCAAAATATAATTGATTTAGTAAAGACTGAAAGCTG